ACAAGATGCAGCAACAATTCTGCCACACACTCTCCCGCCCCAAGGGCCCCCTCCTCACTGGTTCCTGCAGGCACTCCTTCTCACGTCGGAGAGCGCCCCTCCCCGCGACGGACGAGGCGCCCCATGGGCCTGCAGTGAAGGTTTAAGGCCGTGCCGTGCGACGGCCCCATTTGGAGAAGGAACCGTCCTGCATCCATGTAGCTACCTTCTGGCTGGTCACAGCATAACACGAACAGTCATGCAAAGCCCCGGCTTGAAAAGGAACCGCCCTCCATCTGTGCACCAGTTGCACAGCCCTGCAATTGGCCAAACATGGTCGCGGAAGTTCCGGGCGGGAGCCACACTTTGAAAACGGATAGGCCTCCATCCTCGTCATTGGGAGGTTCCGAAACAAATGCAAGTTGCGCCAAGGCGAGATCCACAGCTTGAACAACGACGGGGCCATCATCCGTGTTACGATCGGAAACGTTTAAGACGAGTGTGCGTGGCGCTCTGGCGAGAGCCACATTTTGAAAACGACAGGCCCTACATATGCGTAAGTTATTTCAGGTTTGAGGACGGAGGTGCGCGATGCGCAGGCGAGAGCCACAGGTTGAAAACGGCCTGCCCTTCATCCGTGTAATTATTGGGAGTTTTCAGTTTCGGGATTGCCCAGGGACGTAAACAGCCCATCCGCAACAGGTGTATTCAGCGGGACCCTCCAGAACAGTGTAGGCTCGACCAGACATCTCCGCGTAAGCCGTCGCTCTGCTGGGCCTCCCAGGAGCTGACGAAAGTGGCGACAGTTGCGCAGTGAGCAGCCCCCCGCGGCAGCGCGAGGTCTAGTCTGGTGCACGTGTCGCGTCGCTCCGCTGGACACCACAGGAGCCCACCAAAGCATATATGATTGTGCAGTTGGCAGCCCCAGGGAGCCGCGAGGTCCCGTCTGAGTGCGTGTACTGTCCAGGGGCCCACGGACGAGGTGATAGTTGCGCGGCTGGCAACCCTCAGGGGGTAGCAAGGTCCCTCTGGATGCGCATAGGACCACGCTCCGTTGGACCTCCAAGGGGACTCGGGACGGGAGGGTGTATTGTAGCATCATTGGCGCATTTTGGGGTTACTTTGGCCCCCCTCCTCCTCCTCCTCCTCCTCCTCCTCCTCCTCCTCCTCCTCCTCCTCCTCCTCCTCCTCCTCCTCCTCCGACGACGACGACGACGACGACGACGACGACGACGACGACGACATAATGTGCAGGCGAAGAGACGCTGGCTCGGCCAGGGCAACTCGCAAAGCTCGGATCGGCCATTGCCTGTAGTCGCAGGTAATGTGTGAGCTGCGGATCGCTATACCCTAAGTTGTCAAATTGGTTTCCCGCATCCACTTGTTGTGTCCCCCCCGCTGCTCTTCCTGATCCCCCAGCGGGCGTTGCGTCCGAGGCGCGGCGGCGACTGGGGTCGCCGCCTAGGTGCGGCAGTCGTCGTCGTCGTCGTCGTCGTCGTCGTCGTCGTCGTCGTCGTCGTCGTCGTCGTCGTCGTCGTCTTCTTCGACGCCTCTGTCGGTTGAGGAGGAGGAGGAGGAGGAGGAGCAGGATCCGCAGGAGTAAGACGAGGAGGAGGAGGAGGAGGAGGGGGAGGAGGAGGGGGAGCAGGATAAGGACCAGCGTAAACCCAAGACGCATCAACGATTTTGGAATAATCCCTCCCGTCAAGCTCCCTCTTCACAGGCCCCCACAAGGACCCATTGCCACTGAGGTGAGTGCCCCCTTGGGAGACAACCGCTTGACGATCTTAAAGCGTGCCACAAGACCATTTCTGGGAGTCCAGCGCCACGAATCAACCTGACTGTTGCGTCTGGACGGTCTTGAATCGTGCTAAAATGCCGTTCCTGGGACTGCAACACCGCGAATCAACGCAACTATTGCGCCATGACAGTCCTGATTCTTCCCGAAATCCATTTCTGGGGTACATTGAACATGGGAACCCGTGAAATTGCTGCAATTGTTTAAGACGAGTGCGCGCGGCGCTAAGGCGAGAGCCACATAAATTATAGCCGGAGTCCAGTATCCCCCAACAGGGTTTTTAGACCCATTGCGGTTTCCAAAGTCGATTGCGTGCCCGCCCAGTGCGGGCTGGCATGGCATGTTAGAACATGATTATATGATGTTTGCACATGAGATCTTTGCACGAAAATTTGTGTGACGCATACCTATCAGGAAGCTAACGCTAGAGGGTGTCGTACTCTCTCGCACCTGGTCGACGAGTAAGCTGTCGGAAGCAACTGTAAGAGGAAGCGGGGGAGGGCGCGGAAGCGGGAGGGGATGTCGTGATGGTTCCCCCGGGGATGATATCGAGAGGTACGCGGCGCACGTCTGACAAGAAAAATCGTGACGTCGGATGTCTGGGGAGGGCGGAAGGCAGTGCGCGCATGACGGATGCTGAGGCGGCAGAAACGTTGGCGGCGGGGACGGGGAGGCGGAGGCAGAGGCGCAGCAGCGGGAGGCGGGAGGCAGGAGGAGGGAGGAGGGAAGAGGAGCCAGGCGGGAAGTGGGAAGAGGGAGGCGGGAAGTGGGAAGAGGGAGGCGGGAGGGAGCCCCTGTGCTACGAAACGTCTCAGGCAGAACGGGCCAGACCATCTCGCGCGCAACATCTTCGAGCCTCGCATTGCGAGGATGGCTCAATCGAAACGGGCCGGACCACCTCGCGAGCGACATTTTGGAGCTCAGTATTGGAAGGATGTCTCAAACGAAACGGGCCGGAAAACCTCTCGCACACGTTCTGACAAGTCCACGTCACACTCGCTTCCCGTTAGGTCCTCTCTTGCAGTTCCTTTCCTTCTCCCTCCTCCTCCTCCTCCTCCTCCTCCTCCTGCCTGCTCCCTCATCCAGATCATCCGCCTCCTCCTTCTCCCTTTCATCTCCTTCTCCTCCTCCTCCTCCTCCTCCTCCTCGTCCTCCTCCTCCACCTCCTCTTCATCCCGAACGGCATCTCGGAGCCTAGAGTTGCAAAGATGTCTCCAGCGTAACGGGCTGGACCACCTCGCGCGCGGCATCTCGGACCCCAGAGTTGCGACGATGTCTCGGGCGAAACGTGCTGCGAGGAAGTCTCAGGCGAAACGGGCCGGACCACCTCGAGCGCGGCGTCTCAGAGCTCCGCATTGCGGGGGCCTCCTGGTGCCTCCTGGGGCCTCCTGGGAACCTCCTGGGGCTTCCTCCTGGGCCTCCTGTGGCCTCCTGAACTCCACCTGGGGCTTCCTGAAGCCTCTTGGGGCTCTCAGGGGGGATATCTAACCTGTGGTCGCTTGGGCCCCTCAAAATGGAGGGGGGGGGCACAAGAGCATGAAAAATCAACGAATCGGCACCGGATGTGTATTAACTTGACACGTTCTGATAGGGGGCCTCCTGGGGCCTCCTGGGAGCCTCCTGGGAATCTCCTGGGGACCCCTGTGGCCTGTCCTGGGCGTCCTGCGGCCTCCTGGAGCTCTCTGGGGCCTCCTGGGACTCCCAGAGTCCCAGGGGGGATATGTATCATGTGGTCTTTTGGGCCCCCAGGCTGGACCACCTCTTGCGCGGCATCTGGGAGCTCAAAGTTGCGAGAATGTATTGTGCGAAACAGGCCGGACCACCTTGCGCACGGCATCTCAGAGCTCAGAATTACAAGGATGTCTCAGGCGAAACGGGCCGAACCACCTCGCGCGGGGCATCTCAGAGCTCATAAGTTCGAGGATGTCTCAGGCGAAACGGGCCGGACCACCTCTCGCGCGGCATCTCCGAGGTCAGAGTTTCGAGGATGTCTCAGGCGAAACGGGCCGGACCACCTCGCGCAAGGGATCTCAGAGCTCAGAGTTTCGAGGATGGCTCAGGCGAAACGGCCCGGACCACCTCTCGCGCGGCATCTCAGAGCCCAGAGTTTTGAGAATGTCTCAGGCGAAACGGGCCAGACCACCTCTCGCGCGGCATCTCAGAGTTCAGAGATTGGAGGATGTCTCAGGCGAAACGGGCCGGACCACCTCGCGCACGGCATCTCAGAGCCCAGAGTTTGGAGGATGTCTCAGGCGAAACGGGCCAGACCACCTCTCGCGCGGCATCTCAGAGCCCAGTGTTTCGAGGATGTCTCAGGCGAGACGGGCCGGACCACCTCGCGCACGGCATCTCAGAGCCCAGAGTTTGGAGGATGTCTCAGGTGAAACGGGCCAGGCCACCTCTCGCACGGCACCTCGGGGCTCAGAGTTCGAGGATGTCTCAAGCGAAACGGTCCAGACCACCTCTCGCGCGGCGTCCCGGAGCGCAACTTTTCGAGGATGTCTCAGGCGAAACGGCCAATCCCGGCCAATTCAGAAACGAGAGTTGTGAGGATGTCTCAAGCGAAACGGCCCGGACCATCAGATTTTTGTGAGGATGTCTCTGCTCCCCTTTCCTTCGGCCGGAGTTAGCTTCTATCACAACAGCACCCCGTTCAGCAAGCTGTTTGGGGAAAAAGGAACCGCTTTCAATCCAAGAAGCTCTTGCAAGTTGTAAGCTCGGCGCTAAGGCGAGAGGCACATTTGGAAAAGAAGCCGCCGTCAATCCGTGAAACTGTGGCAATTTTGTAATACGAATGTGCGCGGCGCGCGGCTCTAAGCGCTAAGGCGAGAGCCACATTCTGGAAGCGGCCCTCCTCCCATCGGTGAAACTGTTACCAACTTATAAGCAACAGGATCATACATGGTGAGGAAATCTTAGGCAAAACGCCCGGCCCGCCCTTCCGACTGACCTCGGGGCGCGACAGGGAGGAATTGCGTAAGGAAAAGGAATGGAGGACGAGGAGGAGGAGGAGGACGAGGAGGAGGAGGAGGAGCAGGAGGAGGAGGAGGAGCAGGAGGAGGAGGAGGAGGAAGAGGAGGAGCAGGAGGAGGAGGAGGAGGGGGAGAGGGAGGGGCAGAGAAGGAGGTTCCCTGACGCCGCAGGGATGCCGTGCAGGGCGCCCCTCCTAATTACAGAGTCCGTTCGTACCCTCTCTCGTCTTCCCCCCCCCTCCCCCCACGCCCACAGGGCGCTCCTGCCTTGCCACGCTGCGGAGCTGCACAACAGTGGTGATGCGCAGCGCTCGCGAATGAGGCAGTCACCGTCGCCTGGGGGAGGGATCGACTGAACACGCCCCCCACAAGGGGGACCTAGCCGAGGCCGCCCTGCCAGGGCGGCTGCCCGGTGCCAGGCCAGAGGCGTGTGCCACTCTGGTTGCGGCTGGAGCACAACATTGTCGCGGCCCCCGACGAGCTGATCCAGGTGTGGGCGCCTCGTGTTGACGCCCAGTCGTCGGCCGTCGTCGTTGTCGTCGCCGCCGCCGTCGTCGTCGTCGTCGTCGTCGTCGTCGTCGTCGTCGTCGTCGTCGTCGTCGTCGTCGTCGTCATCGTCGTCGTCGTCAACGTCGTCGTCGTCGTCGTCGTCGTCGTCGTCGTCGTTTGTCGTCTTCGTGGTCGTTGGTCGTCGGTTGTCGGTCGTCGGTCGTCGGTCGTCGGCCATCGGTCTTCTGACGTCGGTCGTCTTCGTCGTCATCGTCGTGGTCGTCGGTCGTCGGTCGTCGTCGTCGTCATCGTCGTCGTCGTCGTCGTCGCCGTTGTCGTCGTCGTCGATCGTCGGTCGTCGGTCGTCGGTCGTCGTCGTCGTCGTCCTACGTCGTCGGCGTCGGCGTCGTCGGCGTCGTCGGCCGTCGTGGTCGCCGTCGTCGCCGTCGTCGCCGTCGTCGTCGTCGTCGTCGTCGTCCGTCGTCTTCGTCGTCGTGGTCGTGGTTGTCGTCGTCAACGTCGTCGGTCGTTGGTAGTCGGTCGTCGGTCGTCGTGGTCGTCGTCGTCGTAGTCGAGTGGCCGTCGTCGTCGTCTTCGTCGTCGTCGTCGTGGTCGTGGTCGTCGGTCGTCGTGGTCGTCGTCGTCGTCGTCACCGTCGTCGTCGTCGTCGTCGTCGTCGTCGTCGTCGTCGTCGTCGTCAACGTCGTTGTCGTCGGTCGTCGGTCGTCGGCCGTCGGTCGTCGGTCGTCGGTCGTCGTCGTCGTCGTCGTCATCGTCGTCGTCGGCCGTCGTCGTGGCCGTCGTCGCCGTGGTCGTCGTCGTCGTCGCCGTAGTAGTCGTCGTCGGTCGTCGTCGTCGTCGTCGTCGTCGGTCGTCTTCGTCATCGTCGTCGCCGTCGTCGCCGTCGTCGTCGCCGTCGTCGCCGTCGTCGTCGTCGTTGTCGTCGTCGTCGTCGTCGGTCGTCGGTCGAGGTTTTCTGACGCTTTCGTTGGTTCTTGAGGATTCTGTGGCCTCGGGGTGCCCTCCTGCAGCAGCGCCTCGCCGAGAGCGCTCTGGTGGTGCCCAGGTTGTCCCGAATGGCCTCCAGAGGCCCGAGTTATGGATTCCGCCCCCCCCCCTCTCTCCAAGCTTCTTAGGCGTGGCAGCCTCGACGGGCAGTGCGTTCCGCGATCTGGGGCTCTCGGGGATGGCTTCGGGCCCCAGGGCCATCAGGAGCGACCCGCGACGTGGGGATGAGGTCGAGAGTTGCGGGAGCCCACGTCGTGAACAATACAACGGCGTCGGAGGTCCGTGTTGTCCTCCTTCCCTCGTCGTCCGTGTCGCCAGCTTCGTCCTGCTCGTCATCATCGTCCTCCGCATGTCCTCGTCTGCCCCGCCGTCCTCCTTTTTTACTTTGCTCGGGCATTGATCGGGTGATTGTTGCGTATTTGCGGCAAGAGAAATAAGGTGAGGACGTGCTTGGGCGATGTGGCCCCCCAAATTAGATCTCGGTGAGCGCAGTTGGTGAGAAGTAAGCAGAGTGAAAAGCAAGAACAGGTACGGTGGGGGCGTGCTTCAGGAATGTGCACAGGAGGCTTTAGACCCTGGACGATTCCTTATTTGATGAGGGTGACAATGATGTCCATGGCCAAACATCAGTTGGTGTTCCGCTGGTTTCCAGACCCTGGATTCCTTATCTAAGGGTTCCTTATTCCCCCCACCGTATAGGAAGCCCGCTAGGGCATTGAGTGTGCCCTCACCTCGTCGAAATGGGGGGCGACAAAGCGAAGCGAATAGCCGCACCTGGTCGTCGCCGTCCTCCTCCGCCTCCTCCGCCTGCTCCCCTCGTCCTCTTCGTCGCTCTTGTCGCCGCGTCGTCCCCCCTCCGTCGCCCCCAGAGGCTCGGAAACTCAACCTCCTGTCTGGAGGTTCGACCTCGTCTCGCCGTCTTCGAGGAGAAGGAGGAGGAGGAGGGGAGGGAGTGAAGTACTGCTGATAGAGAAGGAGGAGGAAGAATAATAACAAAAATATGAGGAGGACGAGGAAGACGAGGATATCGAACTTGGATGAGAGAGATGGGGAAGATGAGGAAGATGAGGGTGATGACGGTGAATGAGATTTTATGCGGTTTTATGCGTCATCTTCGTCGTCCTCTTCGTCTTAGTGGCGTCGCTACCCTCGCGGGACCGACCTTGCTCGGAAGACCACGCCTAACGGTTGAATCGAGAACGCCTGCCGTGAACTTCTTGGCGCCTTCAAATGAGGGAAACGTCCGTGTCGGTGTCACGTCGGGTGTCGGCCCATCCCAGGGCCCGTCTGGTGCAGTTTTACACCCTGGATCAAACTTGCACGGTTGCGAAGCCCGAAAACGGTGCCCAGAGGCAGAACAAGAGAAACAAAATTGGCGGAACCTCGAATTTGCCCGCCCTTCCTGCTGGCCGGAACCAATGCTGGGCCACCCCAAACCCCCAGACGGCTCCAACCGTAGAGCTTTCACCGAAAAACAATCTGAATGAAAGGCGGCGTGCGGCGGTCTACCCTAGATTCGGCCCTGTACTGCCCCGATCGCAGCGGCCGCGTTGCCTATAGATGCATCCATCCCGAATGTGTTTATTTACGTAGCGACACCCGCTGTGTCTGTAGACGCTTGTGGCTAGAAATCGAGAACGGTATTTGGCATAGGCCCCAGACGTTGGTCCTCGGGAAGCAGGTAGACTTCGCCCTCTAACCTTTCAAAGCCGGCGGCTCAACGCTGCGACCAAGAGGGATAGGGCCCTGAGGATAGGAAGTGGATCGCAAGTTTGACCTTCACGGTTTGAGGTTCCCGACCACAGGGCCCGATCCCCGAAGGCCACATTTTGGAATCGCCGGCACGTGGCCGCGTCCAGAAACTTTGAACCAAACACGTCTGCCCCTTCTTGATTAAGGAGCGCATCGTTCAAGATCACTTCCGCCCGCTGGCGCCGGCCTTCCGCTGGTTCCCGTCAGCGGAACCGCCGCTGCTTTGCCTCCGCTGGCTTCTGGCAGCATTCCGCCGGGGAAGAGATGCCAACTTCTCGGTCCCTCGAAGGCGAGGCCCCGGAGCGCCCCAGCTGGGTGGGATCTGGAGGGTCAGAAGATTATCGGCGATACATCGGCGCCGTCGGCGTGGAGAAAACTAGAGGCTCCACATCGAGCCGCATCGCCGATGCATCGGCGGTGCGGCGCGATCCTCCGGCCCCATCGGGGAGGCCTGGATGCTCGCTCCCCCGGGGCCTGAGGTTCCCGAGCCGATCCTGGGTGGAGGTCTGGGCTCGGTCGCGGCCCCATCAGGGCCGTGCCCAGGTGGGGGAGGGCAGAGGGGGCGTGCCTTCTCAGAAGGCTGGGAAGTCCCCTGGCTCGGTAACGTTTTACCGATCCCCATGCCCATCCCCATCCCCATCCCCATCCCCTTCGAGACCCCCACCAAAGTGCCACCCGGGTTGGGGTTACACCCCTCGAAACCCGAAGGAACGGCCTATATCCCCATTTGGGGGGTAAATCGGCCAGTGGGGCCTAGGCCACGCCGCTGGGGATGGGGATCGGTCAAACAAAATTCACTGGCCGCGCAGGCAACCTCTCAGGAGGCGCGAGGGGTTCTGAGATGCCCCACTGCCTTCTGAGAGGGCCTGTTCCCTCTCACTTCCCCCCCTCGCTCGCCGCGAACAAGTGGTCCTCATTTCACCGTCTTGACGTGGGGCGCTTCGCGCCGCTGCACCCGTGCGCCTCTAGCCGCGATCTGCGGGGGGCCAGGTGGCGCCCCTCCCGGAGCGAGGGTGCCAGAGAGATTCGCGAGTTGGCCGTTTGTCCCCCGTCTTCGACGCGCATGGGCGGGAGCAGGCTGAGTTCTCCGGGGCGGTCTTGCTCGTTCCCCATACCCGCTCGGTCCGTAGCCATTTTGGCTCAAGTCCGTAGCCCTTTCGGGTCAGGACCTGGCCTCACTGGCAAGGGGGGAGCAGCGGCCCCCACAGTGCTCCTCCTCGTCTGCCAGGCCAGACGAGGGATTTTGGCTTCTCCCGCTCTCGAGCTGCTGTGGCATGGTCCCCGCGCCCCCGCAGCCCCGCTCCCAGAGCAGACACCAGACCCGCTCCCAGAGCGGCTACAAGACGTGCTATGGCAAGAGCTCATGTGGCTATCAGTATAATCTGGTGGATTGGGCTCGCTGCTATCGTTGCAAGAAGTGGCTCCGCGACGACCCGGTTCGGGACACGGTCAAGGGGCCCCCCCGTCCTTGGTCAGGCGAGCAGCAGTCCAAGGATGCATGGCAACAGGTGGAGTCCACGCGCCGCAAGGCCAAGTCGGGCCCAGGCACGAGTGCTGACCAATCCCAGTCTGGGAGTGGGAAGGGCGGCTCGGCCCAGCAGCGCAGTGGCAAAGGCTCGGACACAGGTGGCAAGCAGACGCAGCGCGACTACCTCGCGGCGGCAGTGGAGCAGCTCACGCTTGCTGGGCTGGCTGACGACCACCCGCTCATGGTGGCCGCCAAGGCTCAAGTGCCCTCCGCTGCTGCTGCCCAACCTGACGAACGTGGCCCACCGCCATGGATGCGAGTTCGGTCCCATCAGGACAAGCTGGCCCACTTCCAGGGCCAGCTTACTGCGTCGAAGGCGACGGAGGCCAACCTCCGTCAACAGATCACGGAGCTGGAGCAGGACCTGGAGGACTGCGTTGCATCCCAGGCGGCTCTGGCGGAATCGGTCAAGAAGGAAGAGGAGGAGCTCCAGAGGCTCCATCGACGTGCTGCTCTTCACCCTGCTGGCGATGACTGCAAGGCGGCGGTCAACGGGCTGGTGGAGACGCTGTTCGGCCATCTGCCCGAGTCGTTCAGAGTGGCGAAGGCGGACCAGCTCCGCACCGCGGTGGACCTCCTGGGCGACCTGGCTGCTGCTGGGGCCTCTTTCCAGGAGCAGGAGGAAGCACGGCGGAGGGCACAGGCCGAGGAGGCCGCGCAGCGTGCCATGTCGGGCAGCGGCCCTTCGCCAGCCCCAGTGGCACCCTCGGACT